TCCCCTGTACACCTGTCCCTTTAAGCAGCTTCTAAGGACAGCTGAATGGAGACTAAATCCAGAAAACAGTAAGGAATTCCCCTTGTCGGAAAGAGACTAGTCCACCACGCCACCACAGGTTCATCTTCCAGGACAATTAGTCTCAACAGTTAGCACTGGTTGAGACTTTGGGGTGGGAGTGAGGACCCTCTGTTAAGACCTGGGGGGTTCTCCAGGAACACTCTTGACTGGGGGTTCTCCTGCCTTGTAGCTCCCTGCCCTGTGGCCCCGCATTTCCCATGTCGTCCAACTCAGGGAGGCAGAGCACAAGCACAACCACCTCCACCAAAACTGATGAACATTTAAACTAACCAACGAGGGGGGTTGGGATGTAGCTCAGCTGGTCGAGTGCTTGCCTCGTATGCACAAGGCCCTGGGTTTTAGCCCCAGCACCACCGAGAAAATAGAAAAAGAAAACTAACCAAGACAGGGTAATAGCAGGGCATAGATTCTTCTTGTCTAGTCCTGAGGCCTGTGTGCATTCAAGAGTTTTCAGAGATTCTGTGGGCAACAAGAGGAAAGGGAGAGACTTTTCAGAATCTGAACAAATAAGTAGATTGGAGAGGAGAAGTGACACCAGAGAGGGATGGAAGACAAGCCCCTCTCCCTGCAGCCCTCAGCCTTGGCTCCGGTTCCTCTCCCACTTGGGGCCTGGGAGCAGAGAGCTGGCCCCACTCGCCTGGAGCGTGAGCAAGCCTGCAGCCTCCGGGGTGCATCTCAGCTTCACAGATCTTCACCCCATGAACCTCCCAGGGGGTATATCCTGGGAGAACAGGAGGCTGCAAGGTGGCCTGAAATCAATTCTCTCCTATCCTGGATGTATAAAGATGAAGAGTCCTATTTCAAGAAAAATAAAGAAATGGACATGTTTTGCCTACCAGAGTCGGCGGCCTAAAGCTCGTAGCTGCGACTCTCCGTCATACATGCAAGTTTTTGTGGTGGTTTGGTGTTTTCTTGACTTTGGAAAAACAAATGTGAAACAAGAGGATTTGTGAGAAACACCACTTGTATACATCAAACAATCGCATATAATTACATTTGGTATTCTAGATCTATACTCACGGTAGACTGTGTTGAGGTAAAGCTGTAGAGGAGGGTATGAACTTTCATTTCACTGTAGGTAGGAATAGACAGACACCCACATAAAAACACTGGGGACTAGGCACCCACAAATACAGCTTAGATTTTTTTCAACTTTGTATTGAAGCAAAAGCAATAGAGTCAGTGGAAACTCTACTTGGAATTTTAATTTTGATCTTTCTCCAGACGGGGGGTGTGTGGTAGGATCCCCAGCCCCTGGTCATCATGAGAACATCAGGGTGGACCACTGGTTCTCCACAGTGAATGGTGTTGCTAAGCAACACGGTGACATTCCATAGGTCAGGTGCATTCAATGCATGATCTCCTATGATATTGTCATCTTATACTGGGGTTCACTGGGACATAGCTCTGCCACAAACAGAGGAGTCTTCTCACAAAAAGGTTGAGTTAAAGGCCATAGCTCTGTTACCCAAGAGGGTCGGGAAGCATGGCACCCCAAGAGCAGGCGGACATCAGCACCCAGATCTTACTTCCACAATCCCTGGTCTCAGACCCAAGGGGACTAAGAAGCTGTCATCACTAAATGCAACGTACTTTCCTGATTTGGCTGATTCCAGGACAGGAGTAAGGAGGAT